GGGGGGGGGGGGGGGGGGGGGGACAGATGGCACTGAAAGTGAAACTCCACCAGATGAGTGTCAGATCAGGTACAAACCACTGCGATGCCTTGTGTAAAAACTAAATGTACATACTCTGTAATAATAAAACATATACCTTCACGTATTGTTACTCCAGCACTTTGTATATTGTCTGCTTTTAAAAATAAAGTTGATTTAAAAAGTCCCTCAGCTTCAGTCGATCCATCAGAGGGTTTTAAACCTGAGCATTGCTCTAGAGCTGTGTTTCCCAAAGTTTGGGTCCTGAAACATCAAGGTGGGGTCCTAAAAATATCTTCTGAATTAATTACAATTTTGCCTTATTGTTACAAAGGAGTGAGGTTAGTGTATTTAAAATGGATAAATGTAGTATAAAAATATATTGTTACTATGCCCGTGTTTTGTTGACCTGATACAAATGTTTATTATCTAAAAACAGCTGGGGCCACAGGTCTCTGCTGTTATTTTGTGGGTCGAAAGCTGAAAAGTTTGGGAACCAGTGAACTTTGGTTCCCAAAGTTGGGCTTGGGACCCAATTATGGGTCATGAAGCACCTTGGATAATCTCCAGAAATCAATTTAAAGGGTAATAAAATAATTGCTGATGTAATATTTTTCCTATAATTATTACAAAAACACAAAATAAGTAAAAATAAGTATTTATGTGTGTACAAACTGTTTAATCAAAAAGCCTGTGTTTTTAGGATTATTAATGAAGTTTTTGTACTCAGACCAGTAATATTTGGGGTCACAGTTTTTGCCATGGATATTTTGTGGGTCAGAAGATAAAAAGTTTGGGAAGCACTGCTGTAGAGCCTTCTGTGTTGACGGACTGATCAGCAGACCTGCGTGGTCTCTGTGGGACCCTCAGCAGACTCTTATTGAAAAGGAATAATCAAGTTTCATATCGCCTCACCGCCGGGCCTCTGGCAAACAAACAGCCCTCCAGAAGCCTCTTCCCTCCCCGCCCTCCATCACTCTGAATGCAGGGGGCCTCCGGAGAGCGGTGAGGGCTTGTGAGTAATGCTATCATCCCTGCCTCACCCACCTCCCTCCACCCCGGTGTACAGGGATGGAGGGAGACAAACACTTGGAGGACTCGTGTCTGGCTCATTGTTTCTTCTAGTGTCTCACAAGCAGATCCAGGCCAGCTAGGATTAGAGCCCTCTGTAGTGTTTGTCCCTTTGTGGCTCCAGAATGAAGCTCTTTAATAAGCACTCCAGGCTCCACCCTGCTTGGATGTGGAATACGAGGATAATAAGAGCTGGAAATGAGGACATTTTTTAAAATGGAAGTCCTATTAAAGCTCTGCAGCAGGAAACTTTCCTCTTTTCAGCCCTCCACCTCATCTTATAACGTACGCACACGGGATATTGATTCCTCCTGATAATTATTTCTTTTATGATAATGGCGGAGCCGATTCATTGTGGCCTGTGTCTCCTGCTAATAATAAACCACTCTGTGCTTTAGGGAGGCTGCACAGTAGGAAAAGAAAGAAACCTAATGAGTCGAGCTTGAATCAGGCCGAACCACAGAGAGACGCAGCTTTTAGCGCTGCTGCATGTTCTTATATCAGCTTCTAATTAAACCCAACTTTGCTGCAATTTGTTGCTTTTTGTCTGCTCTGGATGTCTGTTCATTTCAAGGACATTCAAAACAACTAAAGTCCCGAGGCTGCTTTTCATTTCTGGGGAAGAAACTCATCTGAGCTCCTGAATGTCCCAGCAGCTGCTTCTCCTGCACATCATGTTTTCCACGGTTCAAACATGACCTGCAGCTCTGCAGCCTCCTTGTTGTGCTGCGCTGCCCTCTGCTGGACACTCTCTGGCACCACAAACACAAGCTGCTGTACGCAATAAAACATTAATGATACAGTTAATTTTCTTTAATCATTTTCCATATTAAATAAATTGTGGGGAAAATTTGGTGTTCTGGCTTCTTTTTTACTCACATGCTAAAAGCTAAAAGCTTCCAATTTAAAAACAAAGTATTTTAATGTCTGAATGTGCTCAAAAAAAAAAAAAAACATCTAGTCTGTTTTTATTTCAAGAGTATGAAATAATTGCAGCTTCAATAAATATAATTTTGACACAAGCTTTAATTTATTACACCAGTCTAATAGAACAAAGTAGCAAAATAAAAATAATGATGCACAAAAAAACATTTATACAGTTTAGAATTACCGTATTTTTTAAAACAGAGCTTTTTCTTGTAAAACATAATAAAAAGCACCTTTTTTAAAATAACTAAACTTTAGCATCTTCTTTCTGCACCTCATCTTTGCTTTCTGTTGCACTTTATCAAACATCCTTCAACATTTACTTAAAAAAAAAGAACATTACAAATAAGTGCCATCAAATCAAAGACAAATTTAAAACAGTGTTTTTTTTTAAGTAACAGTGATCCGGTCTGAATGAACTGTCAGATTAGGATGTTTTGGTCAAAATAATGCAGTTTGAGGAAAAACAAACAAATAAAAAAAACATGTTTTAGCTTAAACTGCAGCAGCTGCTGCGAACCAAACGCTGTCGTTTGTGTCGGCGGCACAGAGTTACAGGGTGACAGTGAGGAATGTTGTAATGTGATAAACGGCAGAGACACTCCGGATCGACACGCTCCACAGGAGGGCAGCGGGAAGCCCACTGGAGGGCAGCGGGAAGACCACCGGAGGGCAGCGGGAAGCCCACCGGAGGGCAGCGGGAAGCCCACAGGAGGGCAGCGGGAAGCCCACCGGAGGGCAGCGGGAAGCCCACAGGAGGGCAGCGGGAAGACCACCGGAGGGCAGCGGGAAGCCCACCGGGGCAAAAAACTGCTCCTTTGTCTGCAGGAAGCAGCTTCTATTCTCAGAACATGAACCCTGAAGACAATAATAAGTGCTCTGGTTCTGAAGTGTGTGTGTGTGTGTGTGTGTGTGTGTGTGTGTGTGTG